GGCAGGGAGCAAGAGCAGTTTGTGCCAGCATGTCCCATAAAATATCTTGGCCTTTTTTTTCAAGTCATTAGTTTTCTTGCAATGTGTGATGAAGATACATGATTCTGTATTAATATTTATGAATAAAGGACTCTATATTTTAAGAGGTGATATGACATGGATTTCCCCCACTATGAAAGTCTATTTTATCAGTAGCTGTCTCCTGGGGGCAGGGAGCAAGAGCAGTTTGTGCCAGCATGTCCCGTGGGAGCATCTTCATTCTGTGCCCCTGTCTGACACTGCTCTTGCTACTTTGCCTGGTGTCTTTCTTTGCATAAAAATATTAGCTGCTGGTGGTCACTGGGGACAGTGGTGGCAGTGGGACATGAGAGGGAAGGACGAGAGACTGCTGTTCAGAAAGGTGAGGTGTGACATAACCTGTATATGCCCTCTTGTGGCTTAGTGGTGGTGGCTGGTAAAGGGCTAGAGAATGAAAGAAATGATTGATGAAGCCAGAAGTCCGTTTTTCCCCCCCACTCATTAATTTATAAAGTACTTTTTCTGTTTATGATTTTATGTTTATAATGTGTTCTGTATGTTTTTGCATTGTTCATTTGAATTCAAAATTACTATGAAAATAGGGATTGTTGGTTTATTTGGTGAAATGGGTAGAATTTTTTAAACATGATTTTCTTAGTTTCCTAGGTTAATTTATTTGATATAAGGAATATGTATAAATAAGCCAGAGAGCAAACACCAATGGAGAAGTCGTGAAATGGCAACCGTGTGTATATTGAAGTATTAACCATTATTTCTTTGGTTTGTCGTCATGGTAGAGAAAGGCTTTTGAAGAAGAAAGAGCCAGTTGGTTAAAACAGCAGTTTTTAAATATGACTACATTTGACCACCAGAACTCAGAAAATGTGAAACTTTTCAGTGCCTTCTCAGGAAGTGAGTACTTCATAAACTCTTTAATCTGAATATGTATCCAAATGAAATGTACAGATTATTAATATAAACCTTTGTAGATCACCAGAAAAAGTTCTTTTAATTTGACCTAAAAATCAACTTTAAGATTTTATTTATTGAGTCAAAATGAGAATGAGAGGAAGACTATACCTATCTTAAGTAACTTTCATTGTGAATGAAATAATGTCAGGTTTTTGAAAAATCACAGTCTAGAGGTAACATTTTTATAACTAGATAGTTCTGTTTGCAGGATATGCAACAGAGTTGGCAAGTTAATTTAATTTGTTCTCTCATATCTCTTTCAAATGGATCATCCTAGTAGCTGTCTTCACTGTTTTTAATACCTCACCACATGTACTGCATCCTCCCCCCCCCCCCCCCCTTTTTTTTAACAGGTTCTGATCGGGACAATCTTATAGTGCACTCAAGGACACAGCAGAAGAAGCCTCACAGTGTGTCTAATGGGTCTCCAGTTTGCATTTCTAAACTGACTAAATCTCTTCCTGCTTCACCTTCTACTTCAGACTTTTGCCCAACACCTTCCTGTGTATCTGAACATAGGTATTTGTTTGTGGGTGATCTTTTTACGTGTTTCCAAAAATTGCAATGCTGAGGAGAAGTTGACATACCTGTAGTATTAGCAATAGTAGAAGTTTGGGATAGAAATTTTGTAGATGCGTTTATTCATTCTACAAGTACTTACTAGGTGTCCAGTATATTGGCATTGTGCCAGGAGTACAGCAGCAAGCAAGGTAGATCTGGTTCCTATTCTTTGAGCTCAAAATTATATAATGTGTGTCTTTTTACTTCACATGTAAAATACAATTTTATTTGCAATAGTTAATATTTTAATATAACAATATTGTTTTCATAGTTTTTATGTAGTACATAGTTTGTAGATCACATATTGTTCTAAGGGCATTGGATAAGCATTTCAGAATTTTATTCAAGATTTGGGTGGGAATCCAAGTTTTTAAAAGTGTACAGTTTTGTTATGTGGAAAACAGTATAAGAGTCAGTAATTAAGCCAGGGGATCCAGTTAGGAGTACATTATTGGAGTTGAGATGAGAGATTATGGTCATTGGAACTCAGGTCATATGTGAAGATAAAAATGTAGAGATTTGAGGTGTATTTAAAGATAAGGCCAGTAGATTGACTGATATGTTGAATATGGGAAATGAAAGTTTAATTTATAATCTAACAATAATATAAACCTAGTATTTTCTTACAGGAATGTTACTGAAACTCCCAAATTTATCAATCAGAATTATCTACATATAGATATAAATTCTCATCATATACAAAGAAGTCATTTTATATCTAAGTTATCTCAGTCATTTTTAAGTTTGTAAATTTTTACTTTTTTACATAATTATTTTTATTATGAAATATTTGACAGGTCAGTATTCCTTGAAGGCATTGTTTTGTGGTTTAATTAAAAAGTCTAACATTTAGTACCTACATGACAGGATGTGAGTTAAGTTTTAATATAAATTAAGTTTGGTTCATTGTAAACATTCAGTGGCACCAAAAATATATGTAAATAAAAATGTATTATTAAAAAGATTTTCTGTTTTTGTATTTTGAGGGCCACCCTAAACAACTTTAGTGGCAAAGAAACAAAATTTTGGTGCTTAAATGAACTCTGTTTAACTATTCTAACCTCTGAGAATGAGATGAACAGAATAGAGTTACATAAAGCTGTGCATCTTGACATAATTCTTGAATTTTATATTATTTTATAAATTCATATGTTTTATTCCTGAAGAAACTTGGTTTTTATTTTATAATAAGATTACATTAAAATAATCAGGTGTATTTGTAACTAATTTCTATAACAGCTCCTTCCTTACTTCTTTTACTATAGAGTAGAACTTTATACAAAGGCTGTGCTTTGAATCTGTGCAGGGTGACACGTGCTGTATTACTTACAGAACTAAGTTGATCATTGAACTTACCTGAGACAGCTCTGAGGTTCAGGGATTTTGAGGACTGAATTAAGTATAAGCAATTTTTTTAAGTATAGATAAAGTGTAAATAAAATTTTTAGGTTATTGGTTTCAGTTTTTAGGACTAACAACATTGTCGTGTTGTAAGGTCAGGTTAGTAAATAAAGGTTATGGGAAATGTACATTTAAAAAGTTTTTCTGAAAAAATTATATAAGATATTCAGGCAATAAAAATATATTATTCATTGACTCAGCTTTGTGGATTTTAAAGTAATAGTTTCATATTTCTTTGTTTTGAGGCTGGTTGAACTTAAACCATCTGGCTTTGGAGTCTGATCTCTTAATTACTTTTATAGGCCCTCATTAAATATCTGAATGGACGGGTGGATGGACTCATGAAAGCAAGCATGAACAAGCACACAAGCAAAGAAAAAAACAATAGGATTAGAAAATAGTAGCAGAAAGATGGAGACATGGAGCATTAGCTTTCAAAATCCACATGTTCTGTATCTACTTTAGGCTTCACTTGGGCAGCATGCTTCAGAGTAGATTAGAGGGACAGATAAAACCGATAGTAAGGAGATGGATAGGTAAAAATGATAACCCATTTTGAAGCACTTCTCTTTAATGTTCTTGATCAGTATGTCCTCAAAATTTACTTAGCACAGGATGTGGGAGCAGCCAGAATTTAGACATTGAGGGATATCTAAAGCATATATAATATAAAAGAGGGAAGGGATAATTATTAAGATTTACCTTTCTTTTTCCAACAGTTCAATCAATGTACTGAATATAACTCCTGAAGAAACTACACCAAATCAGGTTGGAAGAGAATGTACAAATCAGAAGTGGAGCATAGCATCAAGACCTGGGTCACAGGAATGTTGCTACAGTGGATGCTCCTTGACCTATACAAATTCTCATGTGGAAAAAGATGACTTACCCTAGATGTGTGGATGGGATTTTTTTTTTTTTTTCATTAACATGTTCATCAGATTTCACATCTAAGTTGAAACAGGGTATGCCATAAAGTCAGTCATCTCTAATAATTCAAGATGGTCTGAGTTGTTTGTTTGGATTTCCCTGTCTTCCCCCAAAGAGCTGAAATGCTAAATGTCTTTAAAAGGATATAAAAGCTTTGGATATGTATTTTTAGTAACAGAAACATCTGGTTCTGTGAATAAAGGAATGTATAGATGTTTGGATGGAAACAAAGCACTAGAATGAGTTTCCTCTTTATAGGTATTAAAAATAGCACTTTTAGGAAACTGATTATTGTAAATGTTTAATTTTTGTCCCAAATATAGTTGGCATTGGAAGTTTAACCTTTACTTGAATGTATACTGTAGATTTTTAACAAAGCAAGTTCTATATTTATTATGTTTAGTGTGATTTTGAAATTACCTCTTTCATGTTTTAAATAAAATGAAATTTATGTATGTTTTGTACATAGATATACATGATTATGTTAAGAGGCTTTAAGACTTAAAAACTTCTACACAACCATGAGTACAGTAAAATTTTCAGTTGTATTCTGTTTACAGGTGTGTTAGGACCATTGCCACATTGCATTTAAGGTTTTGTGTTTTTTTTTTATCCATATGGGCAATAAATATTCGAAAATCTGTTCCATGAAGCTGAGTTCTTTAGATAATCAACATTACTAACATTACATTTTTGAGATTTTTTACAGCATTAGATTTTTATTTTATATACATAGGATATTATAATTTTTAAAAGATTTGATTATAGAGTAATGGGGAGTAATGGGGCAAGTCAACGAAAGTACCTTTGAATAACAATTTTGAGAGCATTGATTTAAGATATTTGGATGATAAAGATATTTAAGATGGATGGTGATATTTTCCTTATTAGATGGGTACCAGTAAGGTAATAATCTATATCAGCTAGGACTTTATATCATTGACAATAATTTTTTAATAATTTTTCAATGAAATATTTACCACTAATGATAAGTAAATATGGCAGTACAAAAGTATTGAATTTTATAATCCAGATATGATACTCTGGACAGTCTTGTGTCATTTCATTTTCAGAACAATCTTAGGCTCTTTTGTCTCTGTAATGTTTCTGATAGCATGTTCTTCATGAACAGTAAATTATTATTGATAGTAATAATAATACTTGTAGGCCCAAGCTCTTCCCCTGGATTTCCATCAGAAAGCTTTTAAGTGCCTAACCCTCCCTGCTTTTTGCTGTATATAAAAGCCTACACAGGTCCAGTCTTTGCTAGGTGTGGTAGTTAAGTCCCATCTACCTTCCCGTTTTTTAGCAATTTAACCACTTACATATGCTCACCCTGTTTGTAACTATTCCATTTAAATTTCCAAGACTACCCCAAAAAAAGGCTTTCATGTTATCCATTCACTATATGTGACTCTTTAGCGTTGTGTAGCAGTGGCCATTTTTTTTCAGGGCTGATAGTATCTTGAGACGTTAATGAATATACCAACACTAACCCTATTTATAGTTCCAAGGAGATGGCTCTTGAATATTAGTCACTCACTACCTTCAGCTTGATGCATGGACACTTCTTTAGTCTTTAAAATATTACAAATTTTACAGAATGTCAAGAGAGATTCTGGGAAGGGACCTAGCTAAGATATAATCATTCTTTTGCTATTTTGCAATAATGTGGTCGAAAAAAAGGCAATCAGAAATTTTAGAAATAAATTTTCCCCAGGGGTTTTCATGTTGTACTTTGCCAGAGGTAAATAATCTGATTTTTATATTAATCCTCTTTAGAGAATACTGTATTGCATGAAGATGGATTTCTAGAAAGCAGCATCTTTTTTTTGTTGTGTTTTCATTTTAAAATGTGTTGAATTCTCTTATTGGAAAGAAAATTTCCTTGAGACTTATTTGAAAATGTAAGGTGTGAAAGAAACAGTAAAATGAAAACCAGATTTATTGTGATTTTGGTATTTGCATAGATCTGCTAGAAGTTGTATTTTTTACCTATCACTTTTGTTTTGCTATACTTTGCAATTCTAGATTTTTGTTTTGTTTTGGGTTTTTGTCTTTTTTTTTTTTTTTTTTTTTGAGACAGGATCTTGCATAATTGCAGTCTTCCTGGTTCAGGCTCTCAAGTCACTGGGATTACAGGTGTATGACACCAGGCCTGGCATGTACTTTCCTGTTCTAAAATGATCCCCAATCACCTAGGGTTTCCAGAATGTTGGTGTGATTTTCCATGTTGGAAAACCCCTGAATCCATACATAAAATTTCCAAGAATTTCTCTTCTAAAGATATTTGCAATATACTAATACTGCTGTGCTACAGTCTTACATCTAAGCCATGATTAAATGATGGTACCATAGTGTACTTCAGGATTATCAGCCCTCCTGATAATCTTGTTTTCTTCTTTTTTTTTTTTTAAATATTTATTGTTTAGTTTTCAGCAGACACAACATCTTTGTTTGTATGTGGTGCTGAGGATCGAACCCGGGCCGCACGCATGCTAGGCGAGCGCGCTACCGCTTGAGCCACATCCCCAGCCCCTTGTTTTCTTCTTTATCAATATGTAAGTCTGAAATATTTTATGCCTCATTCATTTTTCTATATGACATATCTGTTTTGAATTTTCAAAGCGTAAAAGTGGCAAAGAAAATGGGAGATAAAAATTTGTTTCTCTTAAATGTTTGCACTTGCAGTTTACAGTGATGAAGAACTTAATAGAACAATCAGTGATACCAGAAAATCATTAAATTTAATAGGTGTTTTCTTACAGAGGAATATATTAATTGATACAGGACAGTCCATAGCAAATTGTTTGTCTCATGGTATAATTGAAATTCTTTGTTATTTGGAAAGAGTGCTGTATTTAACCTTAGCTAGCCAGGATTTATTTATAGGCTTGTGATAACATGATTTCTATGGAAAAACACATTCCATGGTGCATGTTGAGAAAAGAGTACCCTGAAATCCAGTCTTGACTTCCCCTGGGGAAGCATCTGAAAGCCCCGGGACCCCAGAAGAGGATTTTGCGGTGTGTATGCCTGGAGCGCCATGAATTATCAAGGCCTTCTATGATTGTCCTGTTGTAAAATCTTTGAAATATATTTCCCAATGTAAATCATGTTCTTATTTCTAGATTGAATTTAAGTATGGATTATTGAACTCTAGTAAACACTTTTCTTTATGTTTGTCTTTACTCTTTTTCAGTGTTTTGATAAGCATTTATTAAGCACCTACTATGTGTCAGGGTTTATCACTTCTTTCCAGTCCTTGGGAATAAAAAGATAAGCACACACTCCCTGCAGTGGAGAATCTGAGTTAAGTGATAGATTGGCCATATAAATCTAAATTGTAAAATAAACTATCCACACTTTCAGTCTTAAATAATGTAACTGATGGTTCTGTTCCAGGGCCTCTCATCCATTTTGTGATCGTCACACCAGGCTTTCAATTTTGTCTTGGCATTATTAACCACAGGAAGTACTATGTAATAGATTGTTTTTCACAAATGGTTCATATGCAAAGCAGCATAGGGTATTCTCCCTGTTATCTAATTTAGCATTTGCAAGGATTTGGGCCACAAAGATAAGGAAAACAAATCAGTTATTCTAGTCCTTTTTCTAAATAGTGTTTTGGGTGTTTTTCTCTCCCCTAAGCTGGATGTAAATTAGAGTGGATTGATTAATTATTTGATATAAAAACTTTCATATGACTAATGTTTGTTTTTAAAGAATACTTCTTTACAAATAATAGATTGGGGAGGGCTCAGGAACTACTGTAATGCCAGTAATACCTTAATATTCATATATTTAAAATTCAGAAATATTTGTTTCTAGTATAATGCTTAACACAGTAAGCATGTCCCAGAACTCTTCTTTCTCAAGAGAGTAGGAATCTTGTTTTATGATTTGTGTTTCCAACTTTTTCTCACTTGAGTCTTTGCACAGAATATTAGAATAGGTCATGGTACAACTGGTGTAGCTTAATGCAAAAGCTTAAATCTTTCCCATGTAAGTCAATTACATGAAGAGTTGTGGGGAGGAAAGTAAACTGGAGAAGAGACCAGGGTGTAGTAACCCAAGGGAAAAGTGATTTGGGGCAGGGGAGAGATTTTATAGGTAGAATCACAGATTGGGTGCTGGGGTTAAGTGGCGCGATCTAGGCAGGCTCATGGCTTAGGCAATGGTAGATGCTGGGATTAGAGGAAGAACAGCTTGGGGGATAGGGGATAGGGCAGAAGAAGTTAGCAGACCTGGGTTGCTACATATCAAGACAGGTCTGTCTGTAGGACTGGCCCTGTTGGTTCCTGAGAATACCTCTGAGCCTTGGCATCTTCTGCCTGCTAAGAGAGTATTTGTATGTCTCAGATGTTGGTCCTGGTCCAGGCTGTACCAACGTGAGCAAAAAAATTATCCTAACAATGTGATTAATGGTGAATGCCTATGTTAGGGCTAGAATCTGAATAGCTAATGTCAATCACATGGATGGGCTCTACATATCTACTCAAAGTACTCCTGGTAACAACTCCAAACACCAAGCCCTGGGTAAACTGGCAACACTTGGCATGTATTGTCACATATTATTGTGACTCCACTGGGAGAGGACAGCTGGAAGTTTGTGCTTGGTTTCTCCTAGACTTTGCCTGTATGTCTGTTCCCTTTGCTGATTGTTTCCTTTTGGTATGATGAATCACAGCCAGGAACATAGCTGCTTTTCTGAGCCCTGAGAGTCCAAATAAATAATCAGGTCTAAGGGTGATCTTGGAGACCCCTGACACAGGCACAGAGATTTTTCTGGGCCCTTAGAATTTAGGGACTCTAGTCATCTAAGTTAATGTGTCAAGTAGACAATTGGATACAAGGGTTTTAGAGCTCAAAAGAGAGGTCCAGGCTAGATAAGGCTCATCTTGCAAGATGGGGGTCTTGCCAGGGACAATGCTAGTTCACCATGCCCCACGGATTCTGGCTGTGATTTAGTCCAGACTTGACTTCTAGATCACCTGCTCTCAATCTTAACAGTACTGACATATTTAAGTTTCAGTTTTCTATGAACCACATTATAAAAGCTAAAATCAAAAAGGTGAAGTTGGTTTTGATATAATTTAATCTACCCAAAATATAATCATTTCATACCACAATCAATATAAAATCATTAACAAGGAAGGAGTCTCAGAAGGCTGCCACCAAGGTGTCAGGCCACAAAGTATCCCAAGGTAGCCACAGAGGCTCCATGGGAAAGAACCTTCTCACATGGTCACTCAGGTTTGCAGAATTCAGTTCTTTGGAGTGGTACGATGGAAGGCTCCAGTATCTTGCTAGCTGTGAGGTGGGAAAGGGACAGGGAAGTACCTGCAGATTACCCACAATTTCTTGCCATGCCCACACAGGCACCTTGCTTCCAAAGCCAGGACAAGAGACTCAAACAAAACACACCCGACTTTCTTATCTATGCAATCACGTGTGTATATCACACATCATCATGTATGTTAAGTGCATACATTCTGGTCCCTTTACCACATTCTATTGGTCAGAAGCAAATCACAGGTCACTCCCATATTTGAAGGGAAAGGATTAATAGGGGAGTGGCAATCAGCTATCCTGGAGTCTGGAGTCTGTCCACTATACCCATCAATCCTACTTCATATGCCAACTCTAGAGTATTGCACAATTTTTTTTTTTTTTTAATTTGGAGCCAGTCTCCCTAAGTTGCTTTTAGGGCCTTGCTGAGTTGCTGAGGCTGGCCTTGAACTCGTGAGCCAAAAATTTAGATATTTTAATAGCCATATCTTTTGTCACTTTAAGTTCTTTTTGAAACAGAGGGGATGAAGCTCAAAAAATATGAGCCTTTCCCTTCAAATGTGGGAGTGACCTGCTTGTTATCTGGATGTTCTTCAGGGAGTGGTTGGTTTCAGCCTTTTTTTTTTTTTTTTTTTTTTCAGTTTTTATTGATAAAATATTTACTCTCATAATTAATTTTATGTTAAACCATGTTTTAGTCTCTTGGATTATATTTAGGGAAAGGCGAATTTACTACCAAAGCATGCCCCATTGGCCAGCAGAATTAAAGCATAGATGGGGGCTGGAGGTTGTAGCTCAGTGGTAGAGCACTTGCCTCTCAGGTGTGAGACACCGGGTTCGATCCTCAGCACCACATAAAAATAAATAAAATATTGCATCCATCCATA